AGAGAGATATTCTATTTCAAAATAATAACGAATAAAGGCAAAGCAAAAAACGAAACAACTTTGGTCACGCCGTCCTCCAAGTCCTCACCGGATTTTGATTCAAGGTCCACACTTTTCTCCACCGTTCCTATGAAGACACAACGTTACTACCACCATTTCAGAAGTCAAGTTCTTTCGTGCCGAAATTTTCAAATAAAACCTTCGTTCAAAGAAACTTTTTTACTCTCTTCCTCTACATTTTGATGCGCATCGTTGAGACTGCTATCAAAAAGAGTTGGAGCTGCGGCTCTGCAGCTAAACGGCATTCGAGGACGAAAGTCACCAACAGGAAACTGAGGACCAAACTTATTAAAGCCATTAGAGTTCAACCCACCTGAAGAAAATGCAGAATGCAAACCATTCCATTAACCTGAAGAAAACAGATGCTGTGCACCAGATTCAACTTCATAAAACCCTTAGAATAAACTTAACAGTAAATGAAGTCGATGTCCCCACCTCTCCTAAAATTTGAAGCAGAAGAAAAACGAAAATTGCCATAATGACTTGGATGACCATAGTTTCTGTTCACTATAAAATGGACATTATCATTACTTAATGGAAATAAATTTAATCAAGAACAAGATGAACACAAACGCAAAGATCCCCGGTGGGTCATTTATCATATCAAATGTAGAAATTTTTGGCAGATGCTCTTAATGATCTGAAGTGCGAAGTTCTGCAATGAACTAAAACGATTGCTGCAAAAACTACTTATCAACTGAAGTTATTTGCAAGAAATAGAGGTCGCTGACGAAAACTTTTTCAAAACAAAAAAAAAAAACAGTTTCAGCTTTAAGACAGCTACCTGATCTGTCATTAAAATCCTGTTCATGCATGAGACCGTTTTGGGCCGAGCAGTGCTGCGCAGCCAAATTTGCCCGTCCAGATTGTCCACTAGCGAAACCCATGCGATGACCCGTTTGCCACTCTAAAAAAAAACCTTCAGAAAAAGCAGGCAATAAAAGAGACAAAAATTACCTGAATTCTGCTCCCTGAAGTAGCCTCGTTTATAACAACCGTCTTTCACATTGTTAATAGTATCCGCAGTTGAAGCAAGATCTCGCTGCATACTGCTGAGCCGCCAGTGCTGTGAGCCAGCCTGACCTTTACAATTATTCGTCACATTGTGCCTCTCCAGAAGACTACGAATTGAATGAAATTTTCCATCATTTAGCTTTGTCTCCATGTTCACGAGGAACGCTTCACCATCTTCGGTAACATCAACTGCGAACAAAACTTTTATCTCGGATTGAAGTGACTATTCACATTTAACAATTCACTAAACAGCATTCAAACGAAAGAAATATACCAACTTGAAGAATTTTAAATACCTATTTGGAACCAAGGCAGAACGCTTGAAGAATACCTTGGTGTTTAATAATAAACCTATTTATAAAATTTGAGCAAACGGAGGATAAAACCATCTAATGGCGAGAAAAAAATATAAAAAGCGGAAGAAGGCAGTTAAGTCACGAGAGAGACAAATAACTGACTAAAACCGGAAAAAAAGTACCACAAATGGTGCAACCAACACAGACAAAAGACTTACTTGCACGTTGGGTTCCTGAAATCCTATTGACGGCAAGGATATAAATACAGCAATACAGGACTTCAGACGAATTATAACTTAAAAAGTTACAAGCTTCCACTAGCCAGATTACAATTTTTAAGAAAAGACGCCTAACGAGTGGAAGCTTGTCATCCTTTGCGCTATAATTTCTCTAACTTTCTGTATTGCAGTATTTGTATTCATGCTGCCACTGGGGTTTAGCGATCCAACGTGGAGGTCATTATTACACCTCTGCTAACTGCGCGGTTTGTAGTGGTTTCCTTTTTTCGGTTTTAGTGACTTGATTATCTTCTCCCCGCTTCGTGCATTTTTAATCTGTCCCAAAATTTTCTGTCTTGGTCTTCTAGCTAAGTAACTACTCGTAACAAAAATCCTACTAGCAAACAGAACTCCCAACAGATTAAATATTGCGCAGAAAGACCTTCAGTAGAGCTACTGCAAAGAGAGAAAAATTAGAAATTATCCAGTTTTCTTCAGTCGCATAAGGAGGGAAAAAATTACAAACTCAAATAACGTCATAGATGCGTGATCAGTTTACTTTCTTTCTGCATCCGAAAAATCATTAAGTAACGGAGAAATGAATCTAAAAAAGTGTAAACCCGTTCCCGACACTAAACTAATAAATGCCTGTAATCGTCGAAATGTAGAGAGCAGCTTCTAGGCCAGATTTCAAGGGCATCACTACACCAAGTATATTAACGTTATCCAGATTTTGAAGCGAGAAAAAACTAAACAAATCAAAACCCACTTTTAACCAAGAAAAAAAATTTTTCTTCCAGGTTTGAAAAATGGATGGTTTATAAAAAACAACTTGAAACGCTCGTATGGCTCGAGAGCAGATCATTAAAAGAGACCAAAAAAGACCACTCGAGTTAGACATTAAGAACTTTTTAATCACTGCTTTATTTTTGAAACAGCATTAAAACCAATAATTCAAGAACCACTAAAACTTACGGATCTGAATAGCTACAGCATCAATGCTTTTCAGTTTCTTATAATCATCCTCTCCTAATTTCCTGTCTGAAACATCATCCAAACACACGCAAAAACTTTGAGGTGGGAAATCGAGCAACTCTCGATCTTCAAGACAATAGATCTGGTCGTAACGAACAAATTCGCTCAGTCCGTAATCAACAAAAAACACCTGGAAACTACCATGAGGATAAACGTCGAGTACTGCAGGTAGTAAACACAAAAACTTGTGGGAAATCAAAGACTATAATCAATTTCAGCTAGGTTGCATGTGTTGAAATTTAGAAAGAACCTCCACACCGATTACTGTCGCCAAAAACACTTACGTGTACACAATCAGGTTTGCTTTTGCTGACTACCGCACATCGAGAGAGCCTGGGACTCTTCGAGGTTCTAAACATGTATATGAACAGGTCTCTCAGAGAGATTAAGAAAATACCTTTAGAAAATTAAGAAACGAAAACCTTGCCATGACAATTGTCCCTTTTTCAGGATTTATAGCAAGTTTAAAACTACCATTGCTTTCTAAAGCATCGCAACGCGACTGTATTTCACGCGTAACGCTGTCCAACAAGCAAACAAAGTGACGAGCTTTACCTTAAAAAAGGAAAGGCAGTTCTCCTTATGTCTAAAGGCAATTAAATTGAGAAAACTCATCTTCTTTCTGCAGCCCAATTTTATTGCAGTTAAAGAGTTTGTAACTATAAAGCCTCATGCATACGTCTTTAATATTACAATAAAATACGTGACGAGAGATGTGTAATCATTTTGAAAAGTTCCAGTATCTATAATAAATAACTTAAAAGGTACTAAGAGCACCGAAAAAATGTCTCTCATCAACAATTTACATCGTATAAATTTAAAAAGCATCACAGTAAGAAGTCATAACACCCACTGAGAGAAGAGACCATCATGCACTGAACGTACTCATTTTTAGATGCTGGAATTAATAGCGGCTTCATGTTGCAAAGCTGGAAACAAGTCGCCACTGACGACACTTCATCATCGCCTGCAACTCACTAGCCGCAGTACAGGAGGAACATTGAAATATAAAAGAAAAAATGTCCTTTGAAAGATGCACAATCTGAGAACAATATTTTTAATTGTACCCATAGACTTTAATACCTCACTTTCATTCCAGTACCTGAATGAGAGTTCTTGACAAATGCCCACCATTATTTTCAAGTACGGTAAGCATAAGAAGCAGAAATTTAAAAAATAAAGCTGAAGAATAGTAAACTTACTCAGCACTGCCCGACAATGAAATCCTGTAACCGAATTAGGAACTGTCCTCATTTGCTAAAAGTGGCTTTTGTTAATGGCAACGTAGCGACACACCAAAACCTCAGTTAATGGAGCTTTTAATGGATGCTACGCTAACGTCTACGAACATGAAACGACTGGAATTGGTAACAAAAATTCCATAGCACTCACCGTAATACAACCAAAAAAAAAGTTACTGCTCAATTCTTCGGCAATCCCCTAGTCTACTTCTTTTCTTCAGACCTCACAATGAAAAAGACATAAAAGCCTAGTTCAAACTCTTAATTTACTATTTTACCACGTGACCGCCACACTCACAATCCATAACAAAACCGATATTAAAAAGTATTTTGGATAAGTAATTCGGTGAAAGTAAGACACAAATATGCTAGATAAATACAGAACTTTCATGTTTATTGGGCGCAAAAATGACAAAATCTTGAAATTTCAAGAAAAAAAATTATTGTCCATAAAACATACGTCCTCTTAAACTTACGTTTCGCAAAATCTTAAAAAAAAAATCTACTATTTGACATGGCAGCATTAAAAGAACCACAGTCGCCATCAACTATGGTTCTTTCAGCAGAACTTTGTGCTGTTACGAGTTTCAGCTGATAAGTGCATCCAACAGACTCATTTAGTAACGGGTGCGAATATCACACT